TAATAATAATAATAATAATAATAATAATAATAATAATAATAATAATAATAATAATAATATCAGAGGGACACAAATGGGGGATGAAATTATTCAGAATGGAGGTGATGCGGCAACAAACAATAAGCACAGTATCTTTTTTAGCGCATGTTTTATTTCTGACGGATGTGTTGTTTGGCAGCAGAATGGATCAGGACGCTATCGGCTTGAGTTTGACTGTTATGTACAAGCACTAACGTACCTTCTTGATCAATATCCAGAAGAGGGAAGAGCATTGTTTGATTCACGAGGTGGTGGTATACTTTTCCCAACCACACAACTGTTAGAGTTGGCAGTGTTAAAACATGATAACTACAATGTAGCTACTAACCATCGTGGGAAGTGGAATGTATACGCTTTATTAGGAACGCTTACATCACAACTTATTGGAAGTTTTTATCAAACATTATATACTGAGGACCGTTCTTTAGGCGAAGCTCGTGCTATTCTTACAGTTAATGATGGTTTACGTTCAAATCAATTACTTATTCAGCGTCAGGCAAAGAAACGAGGAGAGGCATGGCGAAATGCATGTTTGGACGCGTTACGAGAAAATTTTCCTAATCAATACCGTGATGCCTTGTTATTGCATCCTGATATTGACCTTTCTGGTGATACAATGGCTCGTGGAAGTAAGTACCGTGCCCTTCCACGTGAAAAACGAGTGGAACATATAGGAAATATATTTTCCCTTGTTGCCGCCTTTGCTGAAGAAGATTTAGGGTGGTATAACTTACGTGTTCGGCTCCGCAACGCTTCAGGAGATTTAGGTCTTCCACAGTGGGTGGCAGAGATGGAGGCACAGATTGAAGGTGAGGAACATCGACGAGTAGTAGCTATTTCACCTCCATATTCACAAGTAAAACATGCCAGACGTGTTCTCGTATATCAAGTAGCAAAGAAATACTTTCCTAAAGAATTAGAAACATATGCGAAGCTTAATCGTGGGGATGCAGGTAATCCTGACCAAGACGCACGGAATCTTGATAATACAGTGTACCGAGCAGGAACAGAATCATTTTTGAATCAAGTAATTTCCCTTCTTGATGAACAGGCACCAGGCATGGCTCCCTTTTCCTGGACACTCGAAGAATATATGGATAGTGACACTCAAGAGAGTAGCAATGATGGTAGTGTGGAGTGCCTTCTTAGGCCCTTCAATCCACGTTTCCGTGCTGTAGTTTATGCTCAAAATGGTGACTTACTTATCGCTGAGCGTGTTGGTGACGAAGATGAGAGTGCTGTATGTGTCCTATGTAGTGTTCTTCGTGCAGCGACCAATCGCCTTGCTGGTGATAAGGGCGAGCAGCTCTGGACGGAGTATGAGTGCCACGCCCCACCGCCTGTGAGCTCCACACGTGAGCTCTCCCTGTACCTCTTTAACGCCTTCTTCGGCATCTCCACGCTGGGCCTCGTGGAGGACGGCGAGGCGGGAGTCGCGGCGCTGGAGCCGTCGGTGGTGGACATCGATGCCCGGGCGCTCGGGGGCTTTTGGTTCGCGACCCTCGCCCTCCCGCGGGCTGGCGGCCTCCCCATCGCCCGGGCAGTCGCGGCGGGCCGGCGAGAGGCCGTGCGGGACGCCCTCCTCCTCGCCTGCCGTCGGGCCTTCCCGCGACCTCTCCGCTATCTCGCCGCCCACTCCCGTGAGGCGGGACCCGTCGCCGCCGCCATCATCGACGCTCCCGTCGTGGATAACCTCCCACCACCAGCCCAGCGCGACCTCAGACGCACTATTGAACGCGCAGAACTCGCAGGACCACCAAGGCCCTACACACTATTGACACGCGCCGTCACACGCGATTATCGAGGCGAGCGATGGCTCCGGGTGGAACAGCAACCAGGAAGCGGGGGTGGATTCCAGTGTCGTATATACCTGCAGCATCATCGCCGAGAGGCAAAGAAGGGAGAGGTGCAGCTTATCGGGTTCGGTGCGGCCCTTAGTAGGGCACAGGCACTTCACATTGCAGCCATATGTGCTTTGGAGAATTTGTTCGAGGAGGACCTTGCGGAAGCTATCGCACGCTCCCCAAACTACAAGGATCTGCCACCATTGGAGTAGGAATAACAAGATCAAAAAAAAAAAAAGAAAAAGGAAAAGAAGAAAGACAGGAAAAGGTATATAAAAGGATGAGATTAAAAGGAAATGAATGAGAGATATTGAGTGAGTGAGTAAGTGAGTGCCTTGAGTGAGAGTATTCGTCTGTTTGTGGTTGTGTTTTTGTATGTATGGGTGTGTGGGTATTATTTTTCGTGGTGTGCGCAGAATGCCATTTAGGCATAGAGCTTCTGACTTCTTTGAGCTGAGATTATCGTTTCTTTTTTTTTTTCTCTGTTTTTTTTTTTTCTTATATTAGGTTCTCGTTCTCTACTTGATTGAGCGTACTGAAAAGAATTCTTAGAGCAGTAGAAAAGTCTGTTCTCTTTTTTTTTCTTTTTTTTTATATATTATTATTATTATTATTATTATTATTATTGTATTTAATGAACCTATTTGTAACGCTATGTAACGTTGCAGCGGATATGAGAGAATTTAGTGAAAAAATTTCTCTTGAGAGCTCAGTGAAATGTAGGGGCAATGTTCCTTCCAGAAAAGATATTGTGCAGCACTGCGTGTTGATGCTCATGTGTGTTAGGCTCGTGTTGCTGAACGTGAGTTCTGGAAAGGAAAAGAAAACAGAAGCAGAAGCAGAAACAGAATGTGACGAGAGTAACTCTTCCTTAAAATGGGAATACATTGACCTGGAACAACTTGGCAAAGCTATTATTATGTCTGAGGACATGTCGGAGGAATCCTTTGGGAATCTGGGGGTGCTTTTGAAAGAGACTTATTCTGCATGGTCCTTTTGCCAAGAAATAATTGGAAATTTATATGACCTTGATAACATGGAGATACAGAAGTTTTATAAAGGCCCGGTTTTACCAGTAGTGGAACCATCTTTGATAGGAATAGAATCACTGGATGAGGAAACTGGGGGAAAAGATAACAAGAAAAGGGAACTTTTAGTGCCTTCAATTATTGATGAAGGTGAAGAACACTGGATTTTAAAGCCCCCTCTTCTAGAATCTTCTATATCTTCTATTGATTTTCCTGGAAGTGAATGTGATAGGTCTAATTTCTATAGGAATTATTATGGCATAGAAACTGGTTATCCTACATCCAAGGATTATCTTCGGTTTGCTGTACCGGATAGTGTGGTTGAAACTGACTCTTTGACACAATCGCGTTACGTGAACTCTGAAGGAAAGAATCAATTCATGGAGGTGTCATCTCAGCAAGACAACCTGACAGTAAAGACAATTCCAATGAGATTTTCTATGAATAGTATACCTTTGGAATTGGATAAGGAAGGTCCTCTAGAGGTGCACCGGATATCGGGAGATGTTCCTTGGGAAAAACGCTCCTTGCAAGTAAGTAAGTCGTTGAGTTTGAAGAATATGCTAGAAGCATTGCTCCTTGAAGACTACGGATGGACTAACCTTAGATTGAACATGCAAAACACAGAAGCTGTGTTAGGTAAAGCTCAGTGGATGGCCCAGGTAGTCATCACAACAAGTTCTGGTGAGGAACAAATAATTGCCCGTTCTCCTTTATGTCCACGATCACGTATTGCGCAGAGTGTTGCTATATTTAATACCGCGAAACGTTTTTTCCCCAGAGAACTGGAGTATTATGCTACACTTCGTCGTTCTGACGCAGTTCCATTATATGTTAAAGAAGTTATACAAAATGAGGGTAGAGCTGCGGTTGAAGGTGTGTTTCAGCGTGGTACCGACATGTTAGCACAAGTAATGCAATTACTTAACGAAGCTAAACCCTCTCTTGCACCTTTCTCATGGTCATTGGATATACTTGACGAGGAAATGAAGAGTATTAGTGAAAAGGTAGTGCAGAAGCAAGATCCTTTTGTATACCGTGCTGTGCTGTGTTCAAGCTCTGACACTGTGGTGGAGGAGTACACTGGTGCTAGGAATGAAAGTGCCGTAAGTGTCTTGAGCAGAATGCTTCGTAACGTGACCCGTCGGCTGGTTGGAGATAAAGCTAACCAGATTTGGAATGAGTATGAGTCTCACATACCAGGGAATATTGGCAACAGCCGTGAACTTTCTCTGTATATGTTCAATTCATTTTTTGGTTTTGAAACACCTACGAGTTCTCTCCTTACAACTGCCCATTCAGAACCTGTTAAAAGAGTGGCTGCATTGTGGAAGGGGACAGGATTTGTTTGCATTAGAGGTAAGTGTGTATTGATATCAGAGGCATACGCTACCTCAAAACGAGATGCTATAAATAACACTATTTTACTTGCATGCCGAGAGAATTTTTCTCATATGCTTTATCACATTACGAATTATAATCAGCGCTTACTTCGCTCAGATTTAGTAGAGGCGGCAAAAGAAATATTGGAGCGAAAGATTATAAGTTCTCTGAAGGAAGCAGTACCAGATACCGGCAACATGAGCTGAAATCTGTAGTTTTCTTCTTTGCTTTTTTCTTTTTGTGCTTTTTTTTTTTTTTTTTTTTTTT